TGGAGCTAGGTGTTCTGCGTTCAAATCCAGGGTTCTTTCCGTGACCCTGGAATTTTATTCATCAGTATGGCTTACAAGGCTGCATACCCTGGTTATGTTTGCACATGGCATGTAAACAGATGGCAGAGGGTGCGGATGAGCTGCCAAAGAGCAGCAGATGGAGAAGCCATCTGAGGAGGTGGACACATACAGGGCTAGGTGTCAGGAGACCGGGCTCTGTCTTGTGCTATGACCTGAGTGTCTGTGTCCTCCCCAAATCCACATGTTGGAATCTTAGAGCCCAAGGTGATGATGGCATTCGGAGGTGGGACCTTCAGGGTGATTAGGTCGTGAGGGTGGAGCCCTCATGAGTGGGATATGTGCCCTTATGGAAGAGGCCCCACAGAGCTCTCTCCACCCTTGTCCACACTGTGAGGATGTGACAAGAAGATGTCCGTTGTGAATCAGAAGGGTCCTCACCCCATCATGCTGGGTGCCCTGATCTCGGACTCATGGTCTCTGGAACCGTGAGAAATAAACATTTATTGTTTATAAGGCATCCAGCCCATGGTATTTTGTAAAGCAGCGTGAACAAACTAAGTCACCCCGTGTGGTCCCACACTGCCTGTGTGGGGAGGTCACTTCAACACTCTTGGCTCCAATTCCTCCTGTGTGAGATTACCAAGGCTCTTTCATGTTCCACACTCTTAGGGGCTCTAGTGACTGTTCATTCTACTGAGGGGAAACAGTCTTATAGGAATTATTAGCCACTTTTGGGTACCAGAACACCAGCACTAAACAAGTCACAATCTCTGTAAAGAATTATAAAAACTATCAGAGATTTTGGTGTGTATTTATATCATGGCTTTGAAAATATAGTTTCAGGTGGGTGGGAAAGGGGGTTAAAATTTCCACTTCACCTAAAGAAGTTGCAAACTTCCAGTTAAAAAATTAAAAAGTCATGGGGATATAATGTACAGTATCAAGACTATACTAATAATGCTATGCTGCATATTTGAAAGTTGCTAAGAGAGTGGATATTGAAAGTTCTTATCACAAGAAAAAAATTACCTATGTATGGTGACAGATGTTGACTAGACTTATTTGTGGTGATCACTTTGCAATATATACAAATACAGAATCATTAAGTTGTACACCTGAAAATAATATAATGATAATAAAATGACAATAATATATAATCATAATACTGTATATATAAGGTTGTATGTCATATAATATAATGTTGTATGTCAATTATAGCTCAATTAAGAAAAACTCTAAAGACCAAAAAGAAAAGAAAAAGAAATTGTAGGACTCTGAAATAGTTGAAAAATCACCACACATTTCTATCTGTAACTATTCATTTTTATCTCCTTGTCCTCCAAATACAGAGGTCTGCAAAAGTAAAATCAAGGGGATGAACATGAGAAATCATATATCGAGTTTATTGTACTTGTGGCTTTATGCTCTATTTCCTTTTTGATTCTGGTTTCATTTTCTTGGGCACTCTGCCTCACTGTTTTAGCATTATCTGTGTTAGTTTCTACTAAATAGAGTTCCCTAAAGCACAGGGTCTCTGGTGTTTAAATAATGTTATATATCTCCTGGCATGGTTTAGCACACATAAATTCATTTCTTTCATAAATTCATCCCCAGTCTTACTATCTGATTCAGCAAAGAAGTCACTCCATGACTGATCAGTGAGTGAAGTTCCAAGATGCATTTTCATTGTTCCAGTTACATTAATCATTAATGTAAAAAACTCTCAACAAATGTTTATGCTTTTGTCACTTGCAAGAGGCTGGCTCTGACTGAAATCAACGAAAGCATTCTGCGAGAATCAGTTATCAAGTGGAATTTACAATTATGCATTTTATTATGATTTATAATGCATTTTTAATTTAAATGCATTCATTTCCAGAGTGCAGGCCATGCATGAGACACACCACTGATTCTAGCTGAGTGACCTCAATTACTTAACCTCAAGCCTCCATTTAGTTAGGTGAAAAATAAAGAATAAACCCCACAAGATTTTGACAATTTAATGCATGATTGTTTCCAACATAATGTTTCCAGGTAGAAACTCAACAAACGTCAGCCCAATCTCACTCATCTCACCTGGGAGACAGAAGCAGCACCTAGGGCATCTTCTATGCACACTCACCTGTCTTCCCAGAAGACAGTTTCCCAGAAGAGAGCTGTTTGTTGAGTCTCCTTAAGAGGCAGGTGAAAACTCACCACTAGGTGGCAGAAGCAAGGTGCCTTTGACAGCTTTAGTTCTTTGCACAATATAACTGACCTGGAACTGTGTGATAAGATAAATACACGGTTTAAGTCCACACAGTTAGGGTGCTCTTTCCAGACAATTTGAGTCTGGTGACCCAAGTTGGCTCCCTGAGCAAAAAAGTTAGCCTGTGAGCCTCTTTTTGGATCAGTGTAAGATGAGTGAGCTTCATCTTTGGCAGAATCAGTTTCCCTTTGGCAAATACACGGCCTTGTCTTTCTAGGAACAGTGTCTCATGCTTATGGCTGGCTGCTCCATACTTTTTATTATCCTGCCTAATGAGAAGGAATCAGGGAAGTCCCCCTCCCCCAATCTTCCTGCTGAATCTCACATGATAGGTAAAGTGTTACAAAGGTAACATGCATTGTAAATGAAGTTCTTCTTGTTACTAATGCTTTAAGGAGATAATGACTGTGGCAGTACTGCAGGTTGAGCTGCAAAGGGGTAGAGACCTCTTGGCATTCCCCCATCACCTATGTCTGCCCTAGTGTTCTACCAGAGGTCACTTCTTTGGAGGGTAATTGGAGGTGCTTACCTGGCGTCTTAATGGTGTCTGCCAGGGTTCACCTGCCACCTACTGGTGAGAATGTTTACTTCTAAACAGTCCCTGACTTGTTAAACCACAGACTCCCATCTGTTCAGATACTTCAAAACACTGTCAGGGAATCCCTCAACCATTTTAAAAGCAAAACACTAAACATCGACATTTGAGAATTAAAATCATAAAAATCAGCTTGACTTGTTTTCTGCCTTGTGGAATTCATGACTAAAGATTTTATAACAAAACTAGCTAGCTTTACTTATTTCCACTGATTTGTTCTATATTGATGATTCCATGAATGATTTTGATTAATAGTTTCACACATCTGGGATGGTTCTGGTCATTTGAATGACATCTTTTTGGTGCTGGATCAATACTGAAAAAAAAAAAAAGAACACACCAGTTTCTTGTAAAGTATGGAAACACAATAAAATGTTCCCTTGTTTTCTTGAATGAAACTGAACAGTAAAGTAGGCTTTTAGGATTTCACCATTGTGTCAATTCCTAGGTGTCTTATGTGTTAGTTTCTTTTGTTTAATTTTTATTGGTGTATAGTTGATTTATAATGTTGTGATAGTTTTAGGTGTACAGCATAGTGAATCAGTTATACACATATATATGTATATATATATATATATATATAGCTCCACTTTTTTAAGATTCTTTTCCCAGAGTATTGAGAGCTCCCTGTGCTACACAGTAGGTCCTTACAGTTTTCTATTTTATATTTAGTAGTGTGTATGTGTCAATTCCAATCTCCCAATGTATCTCTCCCCACCATACATTAGTCTTTGAATGTAAGTCCAACAACTGGCCTTTCAGACTGCCAAGGAAAGAAAAGAGAATTCTTAATGGCAACTCTATAAGCAATAATGGCTCAGAATGAATGAAAAGGACCACAAGATAGGGTTTTTTTTCCTTCAGAGTTTATTCTGAGTTTTCATTTTTGGATGATCAAGCAGCTCTTTAAGGAGAATGCACAGAAGAGTCATTCTGGCACTTTTGGATAGTACATAAGATTTGTTTAATAGTCACATTCAGTCTACTTGCTCAGCCCATACTCCGTATTTGGTGAGCAAGATCAGCCCATAGGATTTCAGAATTAATACGTAACCGTATATACAAACAGCCAATAAAACCATAATGGTGCCTAGCGGTCAAAGGGGTGGTGTGGGGGAGGGGATCACTAAAGTGTCCTCTAGGCTAGCTTAGCTAAACAGAATCCACGTCACACGTGAGGACGAGAGCATACACTGAGCTGAAATGAGACTTCTGAGCACAAATGGGCACTTGGCAGCATGCAGTTGAAAGAAAAAGGGATCGTTTAATAACTTTATAAAATCCAGGCAGTTCAATCAAAGAAGTTAAGAAAAACAAACAAAAAAAGCAAAGTAAGGGACTGTCTGTCGTCACTGTAAAAAAGGCACTTGGAGTTAATGGGACCAGAATTGAAGGACTGGCAGCTGATTAAAAACTTCAGTACTATTTCATTAAAAGGCTTGGATGTTAAGAGGCGACACTCAGAAGTTCCTGAAAGGTGATATCGAAATAAACCAGCGAGAAGCAGAACAGGTGACAAGGAAGGAATTAAATCCTTACAACCCAATTGTGTGTGTGTGTGTGTGTGTGTGTGTATCTGTAAAAAGCAAATCAGGAACGAAATCTAACCAAAGCTAAGCAAAGTAAGACCACGAAGCAGCGATGCATAGTTTTCCTTTGAGATAATGCATACCTCCAGACACTAAGTGCCAAGCTAATTTCTCAATAATAATTTCACAGGAGCATTATCATGATAAAATGGATTCAAGCAATGCAAAAAGAGTTCCTTCTGTTCCCAGAATCTGGAGGAGAACTGAGGTTATCATCAGAACCTAGTGACATCGGGACATCACATGTGGCTTTTCAGTGTCCTCCAGGGGTGGACACGTCAAGTATGGGGAACGACACGGACATTCAGACAGACACTAACGTTCAGCCCTCTCCCTGGGGGCGAGGCATCCTGTATCATCATCCTTTCTTCTGAGTAAGAACTTGACTTCCTCTCTAACACTTAGACAGCGGACAGGGTAACTGCAGAAAAAAGTCCACTGCCCACGGCAGACGTGGCTCGACTTCCTCCACAAACAGGTAAGCGCTTCCTTAAGAAAGAATTTTTGGCAACTGGGTGTGGTCCCGGGTTGGGTGGCTCTGGACCGCTCATTTGATGTTGAATGCCATCAAGGGTCTCTCCTCCCGTTTCTGCCATGGGCTCTTCTTGTCTTCGCCCTGGTCGTCGTCGTCCTCGTCGTCTTCCTCATCCTGCGGGGCGGATCGCCTCTGGTCGGGACTGGCCGCGGGCTCGGGGGCAACGTCCGAAGTTCGCTTCGTCGTCTCCTCCTGCAGGCTGGGCAGCTGGCCGCCGCTCCTCCGGCTGGAGCCGTCCAGCAGGCACCGCAGAGCACTGTCCTCGGGCGTCCCGGCCGTGGTGCCGGCCTCGCTGCCGCTCTGGTCCATGTCCTCCAGGTACACGAGCTGCGTGTAGGCCGAGCTGTCCGCGGCCCTCGACTCCTTCTGCGGATGTTCCTGGACGGGTGCGTGGTTCTGCGGCAGAGTCGAGGGGTCTCCTCTTCCCTTCCGGGCAGATTTTGGTTCATTCATATCCACGCCAGAATCCAAACTGGCATCATTGCTTCCGTTCCTCCCTGCTCTTTGGAGATCAATGTAGGAATGTCTGACGTGCGCGTTGGACCGGCCATCGAGGGAGACGAACCAGGCCCGGGGATGGGGAAGGGGCTTCCCACCCCCGAGTTCCAGCAGCGCCTTTTCTGTCAGAAGCTGGACCTCGCTGTTCATCTGAGCCAAGGCCGCGTCGTTCAGAGATGCTGGGATGGAGAGCGACTCCGACATGGATGCGCTCTGTGGGGTCCACTCCCGGGCGCCCGTATCCTGCAGGTGCTGCTGCGAGATGGCCTGGCAAGAGAGGGGCTGCGCTTGGATCTGCGCGGAGGGGTGTGGGAAGATCCCTGCGTGCGGGCTGGACAGCTCGGCCTGCAGCCTTTCGATCTCCAGCTGCGGGTCGGCTGGGACGACCAGGGGCTGGCCCACGTACGAATGGTCCCCTGGGAGTTTCATGTAATGAGCCGGTATGACCAAGGCGGGTAATACTTTCCTGTAAACGCTGTCGTTGACCTGGTCCACGGAACTACAGCAGATCAGCTGGCCGGGTCGCGGGAAAGAGGTAGGTCTTTCCAGGTGGTCCACGGATCGCGACATCATACATTCAGTAGGTCTGCGCTCCAGCAGCTGGTCTTTCTCCGGAGATGAAGGCGCGGGGTACATGTGTTCCTGAATGGTGAGCTTACTTCCTGTGGAAATGTGGGTCACGGAGGCCTGACTCTCTCTGTCCTGCTTTTCAAATAAAGGCTGCGAGAGCATGGCGTTGTAACTCCTCCTATAGTCACTGTTGCCAGGGGACTCGTAGCCTTCCCTTTCCATAGATTTCCTAGCCTTTAAGGGGAAGATCTCCACCGACTTATGGTAGTCTTTTCCCAACGTCCCACTTGGTGTCAGGTTATCAAAGGAGATTTGGCTTTTGTCCTCTTCCTTGTGAGACAGGAGTTCCTCCCGGGAGCTGAACTCCTGGGAGGTGCTGTAGGAGAGCTTCAGCATGGGGGTGTGCATGTCCACCTCCCCGTTGGAAGACATCATCTCTAAATGGACTCCACTCATAAGCTCCTTTGAGCCCGGGGCATCTGGTGGGCGACCCTGGCTGGTGACAGAGAGTGGACCGGGGAATTCTGATTCCCGACGAGAAAACAGCAGGTTGATGTGTGACATGGAAGTCGACTGATCCCTTTTGGAACTCTCCAGGGTGGCAGGAAGCTGCAGTTTTCTATGGTGCTGGCGGGGTTTCAAGCACTTCCGCCTGTGATCAAAGATACAAACCCCAAGATTAAAATATCAGAACAGTGAGGGTTCCAGTCTAAACCTAATTCTCAGTTCCCACAGGAAGAAACAAGACAACACTAGTCAGCAGCCAGAAGCCTTCTCACCCTATACCCTCAGCTTTGTTTTGATGCTGAGGGCTGAAATCTGCAGATTGTACCCCAAGTACATCCACATTATTCATTCAAAAGCAGAGTCAGCAATAAACATTCTCGCAAGTCAATCAGATGAGGCATCACAGAAAGAAAAGTTTGGTTCTGCCTTGAGAATATCATCTCTTGATTACCACTTAGGACCTATTCTGAGGGAATTGTGACAACCGTTGAGCTTATTGTTTTATGACTCCTCTCTAAAAGACATTACACACCGTGTAACATCTCACTTTGTCTGCAACTTATATGAGAGATATTCAGTTCTTGCTCAAAATTTTTTTAAATATTTATTTATTGGCCGCACTATGTGGCAATGTGGGATCTTAGATCCCCGACCAGGGATCGAACCCATGCCACCTGTATTGGATACTCAGAGTCTTACTCACTGCACCACTAGGGAAGACCCTTAGATACATTTTTATGAGAAATAAAAGACCTCAACTCAGGAAAGGACCTCGATATCAATACTTGTGCAAGAAATTCCAAGTTAAAAAAAGACAGAGCCCCAATGATAAAACTTTACCTGCAATAATATAAAAGGAGACACAGCAAAACCAAAAGAATGAAAGCCATTCCTCCCAAGATGGCCAAAAGAAAGACTGTATGATACGTGGTGATGTCCTGTGTGACAACTGGACCTGGAAGGTCAGAAAAGGGCATTTTAGATTTGTGAACACCTTTCACTAAAAAGAGAGCATAATGTTTTTCTTCTTCTTCTTTTTTTCTGGCCATGTGTCATGTGGGATCTTAGTTCCCCATCTAGGCATCGAACACGGGCCCTCGGCAGTGACAGTGTGAAGTCTTAACCACTGGCCCGCCAGGGAAGTCCCTTTTTTCTTATTCTTATTGGCTGGAGTGTGGAACAGGGGCCAGATGCAAACGCCCTTTAGATGTTGTGCCTACAGCATCACCATAATTCCCCTCAATGAAAGGGGATTACCCAAACCATGACCAGAGCACTGTGAATACTCATATTCTGTATGTAGCATCCATGGTCCCTCCTTAATCAAGAAGAGAGCCACATTTGGTGCCATGTTCATCATTCTAAATACATGACCTTTGAATATAAGAAAACTAGATACACTAATCATCTCATGAGTGGGACTCATCCACTCACAGACATGGCATGAACACCTGGGGATTTTATGACACTGTAGAAGGAAAAAACAAATCAAAACACAAAATTTTACTCACACTTTCCCTGGGCAATGATTACTATGTACTGCACCCTTGCCCTTAACAAATCAGTTGAAATGTATGAAATAAATTTACCATGACTTAAAAAAATCCACAGCCTATTACAGGGATATCAAGTGTTTCTAAAATGCCTCCCATTAAAAAAAAAAAAAACATCTTTCTAGTATCTTTTCAAAATGGCTAACCTGATGTGGCCACAGACTTCTCCAGAACTTATAGACAAGGTGATCAGAACTAAACCTATTTTCTCTTTAATTTACCTTGGGAAGAATCCCAAGAGGTAGTTTAACTTACTCCTTATGTTCAATAGCAGTAAGAATCTATCTTAACATTGCTAACAAGGGATTGACAGCAATAACAAAAATCTCCCCCAAATTATAATGTTTGGGCACTTACTGGTGTCTAAGTATGCAGACAATGCACCAAAAGATGGGAAGGAAGGAATATAGTTATTACACATAATATTAGAGGAGCATTGTTATGATTATTAAACACCATAAAGACCCATTTATTCATTGATTTTTGATATTTTAAGGGATACATTTCTTTAAAATCTTTAGGAGGTAAGTCTCTTAAGCTAGATAAACCCAAGGAGACTTGTTGATTTTTGAAAATAGTGACATTCCTTAAGTTCAAAAGACAACATCATCCTCTCCCAATTATAAATCATTTCAATGGGGTGAAAGTGAATATTTACAGAAGTTGGAAAAATTACTGACCACAATGGCCTTAACGGTTTACGGCCTTAATTGTTCAGAGAAACAATTTTTCTTTTTTTTAACACAGAGCAACCCCACAAACAAAGGTAATACCTTGGCAGGGGTCACCAAGAAATCTGAGGTACACGTAAAAATCATTTCCAAATAACGGAAGCTCGGTCCTTTAAAGTACCTAAAATGTTATTATTTTATTGAGTTAGCCAAAAAGTTCTTTCAGGGTTTTCCCTAAGATGGTATGGGAAAACCTGAATGAACTTTTTGGCCAACCAAATATTTTCTGCTAAATGGAAATCTTTATAAAGATTTCAGTTCCTTCTTAACCAGAGAATGAAAGAGAAAACTCTATTTTCTTGTTGGTTTTGGCTTCATGAAAGCAGAGCACTGCTGTGATTTGTTTTAATAAAAGTGATGACTATGAGATTACCAGTATATGTATTTCTATATTAAATGCCACCAGGGTTTATACACTATGTGTTTTTATGGTTTTTTGTCTCTTCCTTCATTGCTCCTCAGCAAGCTTGGGTCAACCTACATCTAGTAGTCTAGTTCTCGTTCTCTTCTTTATAGAAGTACCTATTTCTGTCACATAACACATCATCAGGGTTCTTGGAAATAGATCTAAAATAAAATTTAATGCACAGGTTTTGTAGTCTCCACTTTGGTTTTTAAGGACTTTCTTTCTTTACTCATAATCATATTCTAGACACTTCAGATTTGGAGACTGGGACATTTATGTACTCACTTCAAGCCCACGTGGCTACAAGAACAATACAGTAAAGGGAAACACATACTCTTAAAACCTAGATGTGAAGTGTACATTTTCTAAGGGTGGGACTATAAAGTAAAAGTAACAGGTTTTTCAACACCCATCTTGGGTTGGCCTCTGTCAAATCAGTTACTTTGGGAGTCCTAAGTGTTCATTCCAGTGATAATTCCATTGATAAAATATCTTGTACTTCCATTTTGGAACTGCCTTCATGGTTAATTGACAAGGGTCAGCTTTTAATCATAGCATATTTTTTAAAATAAATATTTAAATTTTATTTTTATTTTTTTGAGGCAGACCATTTTTAATGTCAATATTGAATTTTTTACAATATTGCCTCTGTTCTATGTTTTGGATTTTTGACCTCGAGGAATTTGGGCTCCTTAGCTCCCTGACCAGGGGTCAAACATGCACTCCTGCATTGAAGGTGAAATCTTCACCACTGCACCACCAGGGAAATCCCCAGCATTTTGACATAGCTCAACTACTTACTTTATTCACCGATCTTGGTGGTCGGTGAGTTTTAGATATGTCTAAGAAAAATCAAAGGGACCCTTGAACCCTCTGAGCATGAAGTCTGGCCACCCATGAAGAGTTTCACTAAGGATAGCAGTCCAAGGGAGACAGGTTCTAAAGGCAAGGCATTGTGAGTAATGGAAGCCATCACTGGAAAGACGTCTCCTAAGGTAACTATTTTGAAAAACAAACAAACACAAAAAACCCCAGCAATTCTAGAAATACTCATAGGGATAAATCAGGGTGGTTAGGTTTAAAAATAAATTTACATTTTCAGTGAAAATATTGGTGAAATTAAATTTTAGTGAAAACTATGAGTTAATTCATCTATCCTGAATGGAGAAATATTCTTTTAGACATAAAACAACAGGTTTGCTTTTAAACCTTTCAGAAATCCCCAGTCAAGTTTTTTGCCCCAGGAAGCCTCCAACAGTGACTTGCTGCTGGTCCCTCTAGTGAGCGCCTTTTCCTATGTCCTCTTTTCCACCAGGCCACAGCTGTTTCAGGAATTAGGGAGGAGGTCTGAACCACTTCTGTGGGCTTTAGATTAAGAATTCCCTATGGCAGCTGTGTGAGCAGAACAGATTTGAGACAAGACTATTTTCTTTGCATTATTCTTACCCCGGAAGGGACAGTTCCAACCAGAACTCCCCCACCCCCACCAAATACCTTCTCATCATTTGATTTTTCACACATTCAACCATATTTTAAAAAGATGTGATCTCTCTGCTGAAGTCACTTTAAAAAGCACAGGTAGCCTGAACCCTCAGAAAAACTGGTTGCCATCAGTGCAGGTGTTGGGGATCCTGTTACCTGGGTTGGGAGGAGACATGGCAGCCACCCAGTACCCCAGCTGAGGGGCGATGTATGTCCACGTCAGCTGACTGCCTTCCTGGTGCACGAGGCCAAGACCGCTCTTCAGCCACGTTCCTGTGGGATGTGGAAAAAGGCTTCAGCCAGATGCACGCAGAACTCCTAGTTAAGGCTTAAGCACATAGTACAAATCACCTTAAGTTTCCCATTTAGAACCCATCAGAGAGCCAAAGGGTCCAACTCTTGTGGAGCAACTGCATCTAGCTTTCAGGAAAGCATTTTTCCTTGCCTTCCAGATTACATTACTCTCAGCCACTTTATCACACGTCCTTTCTTCCAAACACAGATAATTTTAGCAGAAGCCTTTGGAGTTTACTCGTCTGTCACCATGGCCCATCTCCTCCAGAAGCCTTTGGAATTTAGAAGCAGAATAAAGGCAGCATAGAAATGGTTGGTGGGAGGGGAAAGACGAGGGGAAACTCCAATCCTGTTTATATTCCTTATCTTCAAACAAGTAAACGGATTTCCTATCTGGAATTGCAGACTGGTGTGATCAGAGTTGCTTCAGGAAGTTTAAAAATATATATACAGAGAGACTCTTTGGTCCCATCTTTGCAAATTCTAACCCAGAAACCTGGCTCAGGTGAGTATTTTATGAAGCTTCCAGTTGGCTCTGATGCTGAGAGACACCGAGTAAGTCCAGGTCTGTGCTGCCTTTCAGTTAATACTTTAAAGAGCATTTCACATGAGTGAGCACCTACTGTGTGCTGGCTCGTCACAGCAACATGCTTTATACATGTTATCAGTAGTTTCACAACGACTCTACAGAAGAGGACTCATGATCCCCTCCATGTGCCACACTGGAGACTGGTGAGACATGGAATTCTTCTGAGCCGTCCCAGGGGTAGAGAGCAAAGCAGGGGCAGAGTAGGTCTGTCTGTCCTCAAGGTTGGTGCTATTTCCTTTACTCTGCCCTGCTGCATCCCCTATTGAACTTGCCAGGATTTGACAACATTTTCACTTGGTAAGGTTCCCAAGGAGAGTGCTGGCTAGGGCCCCCACCAGCCCATGCACACCCACTGGACCCACCAGCCCAGACATATGGGTCACTTACACAGAACTCCCCCTATGATTGATCACCCACCCCCTGAAATGGCCATGTGTGGATTCCTGTCCCCTCCAGGTCTAAATGCATCAGCTTTGCATCAAATATTCCACCTTCTGGTCTCCAAATCCCTGCCTTTCCTAGGTATATACACACAAACCACTGGGTTTCCCAGATGGCGCTAGTGGTAAAGAACCCGCCTGCCAATGCAGGAGACAGAAGAGACTCTCGTTCCATCCCTGGGTTGGGAAGATCCCCTGGAGGAGAGCATGGCAACCCACTCCAGTGTTCTTGCCTGGAGAATCCCACAGACAGAGGATCCTGGTGGGCTACAGTCCATAGGGTTGTGAAGAGTCTGATACGACTGAAGGAACTCAGCATGCACGCACAAGGTGGCGAGAGTGGATTTCCTTCCCTTCCGAGGGAAAAAAAAAACAATACTTGGCAGGGCTTCTAGGGCCTATCAGTTGCCATAGCAACATTCAAATGTATTGGGTGGAAAGGTGCCCCAGCCTGCCTCCCATCCCTTCCCCTCCCTCCCTCTCCCCACGTCACTCCTCCTTCCTCCCCCAGCTCTCCTCCTCCTCCTCTTCCCCCTCTTCCTCCTCCTCCCTTCTTTTCCCTCCTCACCCTTCTTCCTCCTCTTCCTCAAAGATAGGAGTTGAACAAAGAAGGAAGATGGGGGAGGCCAGGCATCAGTGGGTGCTTTGTATTGTCCGACCTCCCCATGCAACTGGCTGAACCATGGCTCCGGAGGATTTCAGGTTAGACGAGAAGGTAAGCTGGAAGCTCTCTAAAGTGAGTGTGAGGATGCACTGGCTGAAGAGCATCAAGCCAGAGATGGCCCAGCCACTCTGAGCTTCACGCACTCACTCCAGGAGCTGCTGAGGAAATGGAGACCAGGGCACGTGACACATGCAGCTAAAGGGGTTCCGTGTTGAGTCAGAAAGTCTGCCCGAAGGCAGAGAATGGATTGTTTGCCACCGCTTCCGGTTTTCCCCTGGGGAACCCGTGCTGTTTAGCTCATGACTTACACACCCCACCCCACTCCCACACGCTCTCCCACAGGAGCGGCCCCGCCAGGATCTCCTATCAGCCAGGAAGCGGCCTGCATTCTTTGGTTTGCAGTTTCCCTCAGATTAGATTCTTGAGTCACTGCTCTTCAAGTGGAGCGGATACGAGGTCGGGCTAAAAGGACCCAGAGGAAAAGAGATGGGGCTCAGAGTCCTAATTCCTGTTGACCACTCAGGGGAAAGCCACCTACCTGGATGGCTGGCGTTTGCCCTGGCTTTCTACAGCACAACACAGCCGCATCAACTGGAAATGGACTTTATTTCTAATATTTATTTGGCTGTGCCGGGTCTTAGTTGCAGCATGCAGGATCTGTTAGTTGTGGCATAAGGGATCCAGTTCCCCGACTAGGGATCGAACCCTGGGACCCTGCACTGGGAGAGTGGAGTCTTAACCACTGGACCACCAAGGAAGTCTTGGGAATGAACCTTTTTTTTCCTCCCAGAAATGGACTTTTAAAACATCTCCCAACTACACTAGGAACAAGCCTAGTGGGTGGACACACACCCACACCCACACCCACACACCCACACACTATACAGGCACTCTAGCCTATGATGCTGGTGGGAGCCAGAAAAGCCAGAAAGGCAGAACCGAAGGTGCTTTGGGAGCACAGTGAGGAAGGAATGCCACCTGGGGATGAGGTGGGCTCTGGTGAACAGGCAGGACTTCACATGGGGGTGGCGGGTGGGGGCGAGCAGAGAGGAAGAGGAAGGAACAGAGGCATAGAGGGATGGGGAGTGTAGCGGGTAAGCTTGATGCATGATGCCAGGGACAAGAGGGAGGGGGCCTAGGGAGGGGGCCTGGGGAGGGCTGGCACAGGGGCCCCAGTGCCATTAGCAATGAAGAGCCACCAGGACCTGTCCTTGGAGGCACAAAAGTGAGGTCAGAGCTTTTCCGACCGCCTGCCCTCCCCCACTCCTCCACGCCCTTAGTTCTTCCCAGGTTGGTCCTCCCAACACAGACTTTTACCCGAGTCCACGACTTTGCCCTCCACTGTTCCAACTTCATGTGCTTTTCCTCTCTTCCCCAAACTTACCCATCCTTCAAGATTCAAGTCACAGCCTGTTTATCCTGAGTCCCTCTTGCATGTGGGGGCCTTCCAGGTCCCATCAAACTCAGGGCACATGTTACTACTATGTCATCTGTTTTCCAGAAGCATACTTTGCCTAAACTGCTAACCCCAAGTCCTATATTCCTTCTGTCTTCTCAGCGCCCAAAAATATTCCTGGCGTGGGAACATGGTGGTGGTATTTGAGTGTGAAAGCCAGACGTGCAAGCCCCTCCCCTGCCAAATAATATCAGATGACCTTCTGTGCAAAGCTGGGTGTGGCTGGCAGGAGAGATCTCCTTACAGGAGCGCAGTTAAGCTTGGGATTCTTCTCTTTCCGACCAGAGACAACAAAGCCAGCTGGGAAAGAGGCATTTATTTCGGACCAAGTTTTCCGGAAAATGTACACGTGTTCAGTGAATAGACGGTGACGCCATTTTAGGATTCAACAATCAGGCTGTTATTGGCAAAAACTATTTCCAAGCTTTCTGTGTTTTGCGGGAGGAAACTGGCTGCAGGGAACACAAGAATCAATGAATTGTGTACCAGAAACATATGCTTCTCATCACTGAAATCCCGAGGGTGTGGGATGAGGGCGTTTTCCCACCTGAGGAACTACACACATAAGAGATTCTTGTACTCGTGAACGGGGAGCCGGTGCCTGGAATGGAGGCAGGACAAACAGACCTCTGCAGTCTCTTTTGTTGAGTGGGCTATATGACTGCCGGACCTGCAGCCAGCGTGCAGAGAGCTGGGACTTCCCATCCCTGTGGGCACCTCAGCGCTGCTCAGACAGACTAGGGGAAGATCCAGGTTGCTCCTGCTTAGAAAGCTCCACGTGCAGGGTCTCCTGCTTGTTCTCTTGCCGCCCGGGTGGGGCCAGCCTCTGGACACTCCTGGCTCAGCACAGCTGCCCGCCAGGCTGTCCAGGTTAAGCTTGTCTCCTCTGTAGCTCAGACATTAGCGCAGTGCCTGTGGTCATAACAGCATAATGGGGCTTCCTGCCGACTCTCTCGGGCTCTTCTTCATGAGCGGGTCGTCCAGGCAGGTCTCAAGGTGGGTCATCTGGTGATGGTGTGCAGGCAGGAGGACTCCATACTTCCTCGTGCCCCACGGCACCAGCCCAGCCAGGCTGCCACCTTCATGCATGCGGCCACTGCCCAGGGAGGGTGGCTGACTGTGAAGTGGGTGTGTCAGGAGCAGGCGAGCTGGTGGCTGCGTGTGTCTCTGTGCTGACGGAGCGCTGTGCTGTGCCAACTACTGAGGCTGCATGTGTGTGAAGGTGGGAGAGCCATTCTTTGGCATCACCGCAGGAACGAAATCCCGTGGTTCTCAGATTTCTAGATCATCAGCTTCCAAGTGGTTTTTAAAGCATTTGAACTCTTTCTCTTTAATGGAATCTTTGTATTAAGACAATTAAGAAATTCATATATAAAGCAGATAAACAGATAAAAGACAAGCTTCTCTGCAAACAGATGGAGAGACCCCCCTCCCCCCCCAGCCTGCAACCCCCGGGACATCTCCCGAACATGGTTTAGGAGTTATTCTTCCATAGAACTTGGGTCAGATTTGCTTAAGTTTGAAAAGGCAGTTTCCTATAATTCTGAAAAGTGTCATTTACTCCAGCCTCATAAAGTAGAATATAATTTTGATTTTTTCATGGCAATTCAGGGTCACTGTTATGATCAACTGATGCTGGTCCTTAAATATTGACGCCCTTAGGTCCCTACAGAGGAACAAAGTTGTTTGCTCTTACACTAAACAGTTTCAACCATGGCTGTGTTTTTCTTCCTTCTCCCACTTCCTCCCTCCCCTGCCCTCCCCTGCCCTTCCTATTGGCTTTACCAGCTCTTCTCTCTCACCACCACCAACTCCCAGATCCCCACCAGG